CAGCATAAGATTAGAGTGTATAATTATGTTTATTGATTTGAGGGTACATCCTTTGCTCATTATCACCAAAAGCTCATTTCCATCAAACTTGTAGGATCAACCAATCACGGCTTTTGAAATGATGACTCATACCTAGCAACGGGGTCAACCACACCTCCTCACTAAGATAAGATTTTCCATCCATTCCTTGCTCAGAGTTCACTGAAAATGTTCTGGAATCACTTCTAAGCTAAAACTCCTGGCAAGGAATTTTTAGGTTAAGTTAGGAGCTCTCTGAGAGGATTCTCAGAATCTTTAGGGATACGGGCCCTGGCAAGGAATTTTTAGGTTAAGTTAGGAGCTCTCTGAGAGGATTCTCAGAATCTTTAGGGATAAGGGCCCAGGATAGCAGCCTTTGATACTCGAGTAATTAACATAATTTTAAAATGCTTTAATTAGCCATTCATCTTAAATAGTAGCCTAAGTGAGGAACACGAGTCATTATGTTGTGTATTCATTCAGCATATTTAACAAATTCAGTAATACTGAAGCTCCAGTTTTTCAGTGCTGTCAGCAGCTGTACTGTGCTCCATCTGTCAACAACCACCTGCTGGTCCTTTTGTGTTTTTACTTGATATCAAGTAAAAACACAAAAGGACCAGCAAAATGATGAATGGATTGAACAGTGGAATGACATCAGTTTTATTATTAAATGTTAAAATATGGAAGATGATGGTAAACACTACTGCTTTTTGCTCTCTCATTTGTTACGTCCCCAGGCTAGTCTAGGGGTTAGAAGGGACCAACATAAAGGTAAATAGTGAAGGAAGAGCCAAGATGGTAAGTTAAAAGGTTTATTTCTTGCTAGAAATTCTAATTCAGTTCTAGTTCAGACTGAGGGTTAACTTCAGGGAGAGGTGAGACCAACATAGCAAACAAAACATCCCTGATATGAAAATAAAAGGAACTTACCTAACACAAAGAAAACAAAATATACAACCTGTAACAAGTGCCACCTGGCAGTTTGTTGCTCTCTGCCAGGTGATTGGCTGAAGAGCTTTGAAAAGGTAGTGAGTGTGTGGGGGTGAGGTCAGTGCTCTTCTGTGGAAAAAAACAGAGGTGATTAATTCACTTGGGTGCGAGTGGGTATATTGTCGTGTGACCACGAGTTTTAATAGAAGAATCAATATTCTGTGCCGTCTCTGCTGTCCTTTTTCGTCCTTTTGATTAATTTGTAATTTTGTTTTGGTTAGTTCGTCCAGCCGTAAAGGGGGTTGTTGGTTGGGAGTGAGTTGTGTAAGGGTGGACTAACCTCCCTTTTTGTTTTTTGTTTGTGCCACTTCTCTTTATATCCCAGATTGCAGGTCAAGCATTCCCAGCTGTGCTGAGACCTGAATTGTTTGCAATGCGTGCCACAGATAAATCGATTGCAGTGTTGCTAAACGGGGTGTGACTGTTTGCAGTGTTGTTATTTTTTGCACCATTTGTGTGGTGAGTCTCATGTGCTGCTGGGATATCAGCAGGACGTGTTTTAAGTTCTGTCTGAAAATAACTGGGAAATTGTATGTTTAATTAATGTAATAAATAAATTATCAATTTATTTCCTTGCCCCTTTTACTCGTACCTTGTCCTCGGTTACAAACCTATAACCTACCTAACATCACATAAACAGGAGGAAACAGGGAATCAAAACAAAAGGCAGCTTTCCCCTACAAGCAGTCTGAACTCAGAAACACAAAATGCACATACAAGTCAAAAAGGCATGCAAGCCTGCACAGGTACAGCAATCAAAATGGCCAGGGGGCCCAGAAAAACAGCTCCACAGGCATTAAGTAGTGCTCTGCTGATTGGCAATTAGGTGGATTCTGTGAGCAGCATCCAATCAGGACAGAGGAGGTGGAACCTAGACAGAACATAGGGTATTAGTTCATAAAGGAAAACCAACATCCTCCTGAACACATTTTAAATGGAACCTCATTGAAGTTTGGCCTTTAACAGTGTAGGGTATACCCTAACAGCTGTAGACTAAGAGCTGATTTAGGCTTCTGCAGGGACTCTGTAGAGACTCCCACATAACCTATATGATGTACAGCAATTGTTGCTTTTTGTTTACTTTGTATGGAAAAAGGTTTGCAACTTGTACAGAAGTTCTCTTGTGCAGTCCTCTGAAAATAGAACACCTCAGTCTTATCAGAAGAGTTTTTGGTTATATCAAAAGTATATAGATTCTCCTTTGGCTTCCTGTCATTTATCTGAATTGCAGTGATGTTTTCAGGCTGGATTATTGATCCAGTAGTCGCAGAATGTTGTTTTTTACTGCAGTGAACAAGCTGTATCTTTCTATATAAATTAAAGTACATTGCTGATAGGTCACCAAGCAACTGCAACATCACAATGATTTGAATTTAGTAAATCTATCCCATAGCACATAAAAATTAAATCAATCTTATTTTGTTATATTTTACTCTTGTGAACCAAAGTCATTTCTCATCTCATGTCCTCCTCCTTGTTAAGGATTAGGGGGAGGAAATTCCATGATCTGTGCAATTTTATTATACAGATTGTTTGTATGCCAGTGATCCATTACAATAATTTATGGGACAGCGTTTTCTCCTACTCTTTCATAAATGATGCGCCAGTGTTTCCTATGCTAATGGAAGCACTGAAGCTCCTTTATTTTGTATTTAAAGAATAGAGATAGAGAAACAGCTCTTATTATTGCTACCACACAGATACCTCTGGCTCACCTTTCTCTCAGTTAGGAACCTTCTGAAGCAAAATGGACTGTGTAAAAAAAGTAAGTGGAAATGCATATGAGGGTTTGAAGGGACTGAACAGGCCGATCCCAATAGTTGCCACTGGATCAGTGTGACATGTTACCTTTCCAGGGAGGTGTCCGTTGGGATATGCAGTAGGTTATTACAGAGGGGTTTGTGGTTGTGATGTACAAATGATGCAGATTTAACACTGAAGTATGAATGCACAATGAAATCTTCTCAAGAAGAAGGTATTCATTGTCTGCAGTTGCATTTAGTTTTTCAGCAGTTTGTCTCTATGGCCACAGTTATATTTTCTAGTCTGAGC